TCTCGCACAGCGCCGCCAGGGCGCTATGCAATTCTACCAGAAATGTGCCGGACGACGTGCTCAGAAATCTGGTAAGTTTTTTTCCACGCTGTGTAGGAACAGCAGATGTGAAAATGTGCACAATCGAGGAAACACCAAAAAAAAATCAGACAGAAAAAAAAAACAAATCAGTTACCATAATGCGCGAATTTGCGGGAATTTGCGGGTACAGATATGAGAGCGAGGTTGAACGAAACACACGTTATCGCGAGAAAATTACGGGAAAAAAAAAGTTTCGAACAGGAAAAAAAGAACTTGCTGGATCTATACCGAATTATTTTTTTTGCTTCAAAACTGTTTGATTTGTTAATGAAACTGCAAAAAAATTCAGCAGGTCCGACAAGTTCTCTTTCTGCTGTTTACGTAGTAACTAATTTTTCAGCAAAACTCTTTTTTTTTTTTTGTAAAGTGTTACTGCAATACACACTGCGGACGAATTTTATTTATTTATTTACTCTCTCGGGTCTCTCCCGGCGCGTTGTCGGCCAGTTAGAAAATATCATGTGCTCAGCACGTATACAGAGAATTAATGAATATATTTTGCCGCGTACACAGCTAACTGATACGGAGATGAAAAGGTGCGTTCTCGAAAATATAAATCGATGTACATGAAAGCCGTGTGCAAGTCTCTTTGTTGCGCCGAGCGCGCCGCGCGGCGCACAATTCGACCACATCGAGATTATTTGATTTTCGGTAGACATATGTGAACTCCCCCAATCGGATCGATGAAAGCTTGGCTCGCACATATAGCGCGCAAGCTGTATTCAGAAATTCGCAATAGTTGCAAAATGTACACAGAAGAAGCAAAAAAGAGACGTTAAGATTAAACAAAATCCTTTATTACAATCACTGTGAGGTTGTAAAATGTGCATAGAGAGAGAGAGAGAGAGAGAGAGAGAGAGAAGAGATAACGCGGCATTTATATTACCTAACACAAGCGTATAAATTGTTCGAATTCGACTAATGAGATAATAGCGCGAACTATTCGCAATCGACGAAGCGAGGTTCCGGGAAGATATATCAAAATGTTTTGCAACGTGCCAAAACAGCACGAATGTGTTAGAAGTTTGAAACTTTATCTGCATTGTTATCAGTAATTCCGTGCACATATCCACGAACCACCGCGGTGATTGGCGCTACTCCAATTGGTGTTAATCTTGTCATCTCAAGAGAGAGAGAGAGAGAGAGAGAGAGAGATCGCTGAAAGATATTTTCTCGCTCTCTTTATTAAACTTCTAAAAAACATATACACCGAAGAGCAGTATATAATGTCTTGTTAATCAGCGTTGGCATAACGAAGTGAGCAAAACTCAAACATGTGTAAAAAGCGCTTCGCTAAAATTTCAACCCATTCTCGCATATCAAACTTGACTGGCTGATGACGCGCTGAGAGAGAGAGAGTTCAAAAAAAAAGTTAATCAAATTGTAAATACAATCTTATCTGTACTAGATATAGTTTTAACGGAAGTAATGTTTGTACAAAGCATGTGAGAGAGAGAGAGAGAGAGAGAGAGAGAGAGAGAGTTACGTTGTATCTTACAAATAAAGATTATCTCCGAATCTCTTACAACTTGTAAAAGACACAATTGATATTATAATATAAAGGATCTTTTTGAGAGAGATTATTACTATAATTAATAAGCTTTCTCAGCTTCTTCAGAGGTCTAACATCTTCATACACGAACGTTATTCTCTTCCGCGGCCGATCAATATTTCCTTAATTATACCCGCAGAATGAGAGAGGATGAGTAACAACGATCTAAGCCGGATAGCTTGTCCGCTAACATGTTATTAACTGTGCCTGTCCCGCTGGCCTAATTAACATTGCCCGTGTAATTTAAGCGAGAATAAGTATTGAATACATAACTCTTGTTTCTTTTGAAGCAGTTGCAACGATGATAAAAAAATATTGTCGCTATTTGAAAAAAATTGCATTTTGATTTGCTGTCGCAAATTGTTTGTTTTTTTTTACGAGGTAAATCTTATACAACTGCTCACGCTAACAACGTGAGTGTCTCTTAAAAAAAAGTGACAACAACAATGAAACAACTCTGAAAAATAGAATTTGTCACACAACAAAATATTTCGTGTATATCTTAAAACTCTCGGATGCTTTTCAAGTTTGCACAAGTGACATTAATGCTTCTCTTCACAGGCTAAGAATGGCGGAGTAGCGATGGTTCCTTTTTATACCTACTTCATAACATGTAACAGCACCGCTACCATAAAAGACGTTATTGGTACGTACACAATGTTATTCGCTAAACAATATATATGTCAGAGAGAGACTACGTTCTATAAATTAATCATACTATATCGAGAAAGAGAGAAAGAGAGAGAGAGAGAGAGAGATGTTGCATATATTAAATGACTGATCAATTACCATGTGTATCATATTTTACATTAAAACTTTTTCAAGCTTTTTTGTATATAAAAAAATAATTATACAAAAATGTTTACTGTTTTTTTTAATGACTGCAAATATTTGTCAAGAAGCTTATTCTCATGTGTATATGATAACAATACGTATTTTATTTTACTTTTTCATACTTACGCGACAATCTTTTAAGCGCATCGTCTCGCTATGATCACTTCTCTCTGATTACATTTTACTTCCAAAATGTGCGCTCTCTGAGAGCTCAATTTTTTCTTGTAAAATATAATATTTTAATATTGCAATCACACGACGAAGTGACTGGAGTCTTATATCGTTTTCAGCACACATCAATCATATTCGAAAGGTGGCTGGGATCGATCATGTCGGAATCGGAGCGGGTTTCGACGGAATAAATTTGTAATTATATTTTTTCACTATTTTTCTCACGCAACGAAAACAGATATATTTAGGATATACATCAGTTAATCAATTCAAAAAAAGATACGCGCGCACTCAATCTCAATAAAGAAATACGAATTTCAATTAAAAAAAAGTAACTATCGCTGATTCGTAACGTAAGAAATTTAATATTTTGTTATCACATAATTACATCTGTCATTAAAAACAAAAATAAAAAAAACTAGAAAGATCGGATCTCACGAAACTTCCTTCTATCCTAGCACTCCTACGGGTTTAGAAGATGTTTCGAGATATCCGCAACTATTGGCTACTCTGCTGGAGGATCCTTCGTGGACAGAAGAAGACATTAAAAAATTGGCTGGCCTCAATTTATTGAGGGTATTTGCGAAAGTTGAACAGGTAAGTCTTCTTCTTCTTTTTTTTTTTTTTTCTTAATTGAATCTAGCTCTTTTACAATCTGTGTTTCTGACAGTTCTAAACGGAAAACTTTTTTTTCGCTTGTTTATTGGAACAACAAAACGAGTAATCTCTTATGTAACAATAAAATCCAATGAAAACTCAGCAACATTCATTTAATTTCGAACATCTCGCGATCTTATCCGCGATTAATCGCGTGGGCATTTAAAATTGCGAAAGTAACTTTAAAACCAACGACGAGCGATTAAAAATGAGAAATCTGAAATGTCTTTTCTTTAAATTATAAAAATGAGAAATACACACTTTGCGCGATTTTGTTGTTACTATTATTCCCCAACTTGTGTATGTGACGTCTTGAAACGTCTTTTCTAAATTTTTTTTGCGCGCGCAACAAGAAGTTTTAAAAATAATAATACGCGAGCATGAATCGCGCGAGCGATTTATCTAAATCGTCGCACAATGTACAATTCATCTTTTCCGATGACAGGTTCGTGACGAGTGGCATAGAGCGGCTGTGTTACCAGTGGAAAAGATCAGTCCGCCAGACAACTCAGCCTGCGTTTACGGCGCATCCTGATCTTCTTTGAAGACATTTGCACCGGTATTTCTCGATTTCGCGCAATCGCCGAAGATTCTACGAGTGCCGTGGTATTACTGGAGCTTGTGAGAGTAAGAGAAAGAGAGAGAGAGAGAGAGAGAAAGAGAGAGAGAGAGAAAGGTCGTATGTCCCGATTCATCAAAAGAATATTCCGCAAAGAAAGCTCCAGAGATATCTCTAACGACCAATCCATTTATACTAAAACAAACTGCCGACTTCTACTTCAGGGACTTTTGCGTTGCGCCTTAATAAGAAACGAAGATTCAGCTCGAGAGAAACGCGATTCGACCTATCGAAATTGATGGTGTCGAGAAAACATCTCTAATGAAACATCGTTCGCGTGCGATATATACATGTACTTGGAAGAACACTTTACGATCAATACACTGTTTGCGATTACGTTTGAAAAAAAAAAGGAATCGCTCGCGCGTTTCTTATATAATGCCGCTTTTCAATTTCTCTTGTAATATTACGCAAGAACCGTTATCACGTCATAATGTGTTGTTGTGAGGAAAGATTGTTCTTGTTTTTTTTTTTTTTTTTTGTCCAAACTCGGTAGTTTTCCTAGCTTGAAAAATTATTCAGATTATTTAGAATATAATTGAGAGATATTTTTTATCGCCAGAATTTCCGTCCAGACTTTTCAATTTCACTTAACATATCAGAATTTGTGTGATTCATTAGCAATATCATAATTTGCATCGCGCTTCTATATTTGTCGATATCCTTTAATTTTTTTTAAAACACGTTGTGTAATTTAGAACCTCGTCGAGATATACATTTGGCTTGTTTCAATTATGTAGTTTTTGCTAAATCGCAGTAACGCCGAAGGAATTGACAAAACACTAATTCCTTTAAAAAAAAAAAAAAAAAAAAAGATCAGGACTCATGCCTCGTAATGCACACTTGGTATATTAATTGATATTACGATCGTCTGACTCTCTCATATCACATTCCACGTCACAACACGATCTTTTCACCCTACGATCACAGAGAATCAGTTTACTGATTATTAATTGCTAAGATACAGACACAGATTGCACGTATCTATATTACGATTAATTCTACAAACTGTTTTTTTTTTTTTTTTTAACAGAAGACAAAACACACGCTCGTAATCTTACGTGTACTTGCATTGTTTATATTTCAATCAGAAAAAAATGAACAAAAAACATTACTGTAATATTATATATCAGTTAAAGAAGATAAGTTGCATTTCATAATTTACACAAAATTAAATTAAAAAATATAGATATCATTGTTATTATTAATAATTGATATATTATTATTATTGTTATTATAATATAGATATTATTAAAATATTGATATCATTATTGTTAACAATGTCGTTCGTCTCCGAAACGTAATTAGATTCATTTTCTCACGGCACATTTTGCATTCTATGAAATTTATGTCGCGAAATCTAGGGATGTGTCAAATTTTAACTTGCTTACGTTTACTTTTAAAATGTAACTACGCGACCAACACATACAAACTAACGCGCATCGCGGATAGTTTCATGATTTTCCTCAGGACTGTGATATTTCCGCGGGCCTCGTGAAACACTTTGTGCTTCCACTTAAAAGAACAATCGAAGCACATCATTTTAAAGAGTGAAAAATTATAACGAAATTCGCATGTACGATTGCATTGCGAAAATCAAAGATATGGTTTCGTCGATGCGCCACGGTTTTTCAATTAGAACTATAATACGATAACGGCAAAGATAACGTCACAAGTATAGCGTAGCGTACATCGTAAATTGTACATCTGCTAGAAATTAAAAAAAAAACAAAAAAAAAACAAAAAACAAAACCAAAAACCAAATACGTATTTAATATTCTTAAAACGCGCAAGAATAGAGGCAACGCGCTCGTGCGTACGCGCAAAAACAAAAAAAAAAAAACAAAAAAACAATCAATGCGCCAACGACTCGTGGCATTACATTGTACGTGAAAAAAATGCAAAAAAAAATTTTTGGCCGCGTAAATTTAAAGACATTGAATCTACTAAATGGCGTGCTTTTACAACACATGCAAAAGATAAGTTTGAAAGAATAGTTATTAAAATGCATAAAAATATATCGTTGGCTGTATCTCCCCGCGACATCACTCGGATATCGATTCAGTATAGCGAAAATTTCTCTTTTCCTTATAAAATGAAATTATTAGCATGCGTATAATATGCATATATATACATATATATATATAAATATATATACATATATATTTATTCTAAGAAATTTAACAAAATGTATTAAACATTGTATTATCAAAAAAAAAAAAAAAAAGAAAAAACAATTCAGAAAACGCAGCAGTTTGCGATTACTCGGTAACTGAATTCTAGCGAGAAGAACAGCAGCTTCCTCTTTTACATACATTTTAGCAGCAATAATGCAATTAACCGCCAGATAGTCTACTGTTAAGTAGCATAAACGACCAATAGAAAAATACGCAAGTAATTTTTAAATGAGGAGTAAGTCTAATGAGTACGTAAATTATGGTACTTTGCTCAATACCACCGATTTTTAGGACATCAACAAGATACACACACGCGCGTATCTGTTTTTTTCCGTAATTTCTCGTATAATGTAAATCATCTGTAATTGAATCAGGTTCAGATAAAAAAAAAAAAAAAAAAAACAAATGCGTCACACCGAGAGCGGGGAAGAAGAAGAAGAAAGACGAAGAAGGGGGGATAGAGGAAGTTATTCTTTATAAAAAATAATTTATAAAAGAGAGATCTTTTCTTTGCGCAAAAGAGAGATGAGCAAATCGCGTCGAGACAAATACTTAAAAAACCCGACTCGAGATGAAGGGTGAATCTAGATAATCATTTTTTGGATACGTATGAGTGTGAGCAATATATGTGAGCGAGAGATAAGATAGAAAAAAAATATTTGTCGAAAAAAGATCGAAATAATTTCGAGCGTTTCGAGAAAAGGACACGTGATAAATTGATATTAACCGGGAATAACGTCAATTATTTCAGTAAGAAAAATAACAATTTTATCGATTCATATATCCGTGCCTCTTGTATAATCGTTTTTTGACAATCTGTAATTCCCGAATTTTTTTGGTTTTCGTCTCGAAGAGTACCTTAACTTTCTCGTCTTACGTTTAGACGCGACCACCACCATTATCTGCGATATATTGTAAAATAAAATTTGTCAAAGAAGAAGAAGAAGAAAAACGAAAATGAACACAAATAACGTTTTTTGAATGAATAAAACGTTTTTTTCTCGAACAGCTCGATCATTATTCTTCCGATAGATCAACGTGTGTTCATTTTATAAATCGCAAACCGACGACGGATCGGTCGATTAATTTGTACGTAGGAAAATCAATTTTTCTAAAGAAGATCACGAGAGAAAGATCGCGGAGAGGGGAATTAATGGAGGAAATTAACGAGAAAGCCAAGAGAGAGATAGAGAAAAATCTTAGCTGTATAAAAAACCTTAATATATACATATAAACAACAAACAACTGCCTAGAAAGAACTCAGATTATAATAATTATTATACTTATTGTATTGTATACAATTAATGAACTGTCTAAGCGCACAACAACGGGGGGCACGAGTTTGGCCGGAGAAAAAAAAAACTGACGATAGATATTGGTAGCGCGCGTATATATATATATATATCTATTAAGTCGTGAACGAGAAAACGTACGAGATATTGAAAAACCACCAGTATGTTTCAAATTTGTGCAACATGTACGAAAGATTTTGTTTAAAAACGGAAATACATTCGAATACATCCATTTGGTAATTGACAGTTTTTGAAAGTCGTGTAAAAATTTCTTCCAAATAACGAGATTTCTTCTACGTAACGTAACATCTATCTTTTACCAATGAAATAACATCATACGATGTTTTTTAAATTCAAATTAAAACTTTATTTATTTTTCACCGAAGTGTCAATTACCAAAGTAGCTTTTGTTTTACTTTTACTAATTTGGCACTGGTCCAGTGTTTTTGGAAGATTATTACGCGCGCAAGTTTTTTTATTTGCAATAGACGCATATAAGCGTGTCGCACGACTTTTCTATGAAAAATTTAATGAAAAGTCGTTGTCTCTCTCTCGAAATATATATATATACGTACTGGCAGTTTCGAGATAACTCGCATAACACAAGACGGAAGAAGCGAATCAGTTCGCAACTATACTCAAGAAACTACTACAACAACGGCACATTTCTGACCGTAGACTACACGATTTTTCACTTTTGTGAGAGCAAACAACTCTCGGCCAGTTTATCGCGATAAACAAGTTTTGTGGCCGAATGTCGATACATCGAGCAATGTCAGAGCAAAGACAAAATATCGACTGGTTTTTATCAGAAACGCGTCATCCGATTTCGCCGCTTTTCTCCGCTCTACCAAGTTATTAATAGTTTTTGGAAACACACACGGGAATATATCTCAGCAGTGTGCGCTCACACTTTTCTCTTGATATTGACTTCAATAATGCAAGATGTGAGAAAAAACTTGAATGTTTAAATTATCAAACACGTTTACTCTTAGTCGCACAAAACTTTTCTATATCTCAGATACTTGTTTCGCTGATCTTTTATATGTTTGTTTCAATTTTATTAAAAACTTCTCCTTTGAATAAAATAGAGAGATCTTCTTCTTTGAGTAAAAAAAAATATATATATATATACACACATATGTATAATACTAATCTGCTCTTCTTTATCTCATAGAGATATGTTTGTTTTTTGCTCACTCTTCTTAATATCAAGATTCTCGAGATGAAATAATATTGTCGCCGACGAAAACGACCAAGTCGGATCCAATATTTAAGATTTGTACAAATCAGTTAAAAAAAAAAAAAAAAAAAAAAAAATATTTTTGCAAAGATATACAAAATATATATATTTGCTCGCATTCTCGATTTATCGCTTTATCGAATGCTCGAGATAAATCCTAAACTTAAAGTGACGCATTACGAGATAAGGCGCTATAAAAAAAAAAAAAAAAACACCGTTTTATAAGACGTCGTCGTTTATTGAGAACTCGGGGGGGGACGACAAGGCGTTGTGGTTGGGAAGTGATTACACAAGGAAACTTATTATCAACTAATACAAGTACAATCAGCAGGATGCCTCGAGCTGTTCGATGATTATATACAGCGTGTAAAAGTTTTTAGACAAATTTAAATACATGTGTGTGGTAAAGTGTGAGAGAGAGAGAGAGAGAGAGAGAGCGTGTGAGAGAGCGAAAAAGAAAAAGAAAGAAAGAGCAAGAACGAGAATCTGCGAGATTTGTGCGATAAGTGTATGTTTAGTGATAAAAAAAAAGAAAACAAAAAAAAAAAGAAAAAAAAAATTACTGCATGGCCGAATATTTACAGAGACTAATGAAAAAATAAATGAGAAGACGATAGTGAAAGTTTTAACAAATTAGTTCTTAACGCGCTGTAAAAGTGTAAAGAAACAAAAGACACTATTCATACCTTCTTACGTAAGAAACATTTTATGTATGTGCGTGTGTGTGATTGTGTGTGTACACGCGTGTGACTGGTGTACCTACATAGGTGTGTGTACGTGTACACACGGAGTACACACATTCATACAAATTAGAGAGAAAAAGAGAGAGAGAGAGAGAGAAAGAGAAGAAGAGAGAGAGAAAAAGAAAGAGAGAAATATAAACATGAGAATAAAGAAACACACATTGTATATGGTATCCTATGAACATAATTATAAATATATAGGTACTATGTGCGTAATTACATTAATATCTATGCAAATTAGACATCGATGTACTTGCGGACGTAAAACGTGCATGAGACTACTTCACTTTTGCTATTATCTATATATATAAGAACAGATAAACATGTGCTATATACAAGGATTGTCCAAGAGAAGCACTATCTCTCTATTTTTTTTCTATATATATATATTTTTAATTACTTTTTTTTTTAATCCGTGATTGCAACATTAAATATTTGGACAAATTCGGATTCTCTCGTGAACTATACGATCGCATATGCGCGCCTTACTTGTTAATAATTCTGAAGTAAAAAAATAAAATGAAAAATCTTGTTATGCGCGGTAACAAGAAATGTTTGATCGTTTAATTTATTGATATGTCTTCCGATGATTTTATTTGTCCACAAAACTTTAGAGTTCGAAAAGCTTTTGAGAGAAACAAAGAGACAGTGACAAATTTGGAACATCCTGTATGTAATAAATCACAGAGAGGAGAGAAAATGAGGAAAAAAAAAAATATGAATATGAAAATGAAAATTAATAGATCGCGCGAGAGTGTGCAAAAAGAGAATAGGAATGAACTAATTAAAAAATTGTTATTTATCTTGTTTGATTTTTTTGTTTTGTTTTTGTGAGTGTGTGCAGGTTTGCCGGCTTCGGGCAAATTAGGGAAATATATTTACAAGTGATATACGTTTTCTGGAGAGCAGTTTCACTTAGTTAGTGAGTGAGAAAGATAAACTTAGATCGTGTGTATACACTAATTTTAGACATTTTTTGGTTGGTTTGATGTTAGAAGTGATCTGGAAGAACGTCGAAGGAGGTCGATCGTCGTTCGACGCACGGAAAACTGCGGCAATAAAATCGAATTGCATTGTTAATGACGAGGTCGTGTTCACATATTTACGGATACTTAAGGTTCGGATCATTTAATTGCGGCAAACAGAGTTTGGAAAAAAATTTTTTCCCTCAAACTTGCGCATTTACTTGTCACAGCGTGTAGCGTAAAACTCGCCTTTTGCGATTAAGCGGCTTTACATTATAGTTAGACACAACACACGCTTGCTTTGTTATATAAAATTCCATTGTAACATACTATATTATATAAGTCATTTTAGCAATGAATTTAGCAGTATTTTTACTCAATTTCTTATTATAAAATAGAAGTACGGTTGTTGAATTTTTAGCAACGTGTATACAACTAAATGAGAGAAAGATTGTTACAAGTAAAAAAGTAAGCGTTTAAAGAAAAGTATATTTAAAAAAAAAACAAAAAAAAAAGAGAGAGAGAGAGAGAAACATGTATATCTTGAAAGCTTACAAGTATCACAAATTACGCGTCATTTTTACTGGCGTATAGGCCAAGTTTAAAAAAAAAAAAAACTGTTAGGATAAAATCTTGTAAACTTTGAGATCAATAAATAGAAAAGATAATAACCCTCTACGACCTCGGCAAAGAGAACAGATTCGATTTTAGATGTCATTTGTGAAAAGAAAAACCTACTTCGCATATTATAAGGCGTTTGTTTGCGCGAAACAGCGAACAAAGACGATCGCGACACGACGACGGTTTTTATCTACGTTAACATAGAAAACATTGCTGGAACAATGATTTGTACGCCTTCTATGAAGGACTCTAGACTATATTATGTTACTAATACTTGTAAGCACATACACATTATCTAATAAATATTATTTACAAAATTAACTCGCACCGTATGAGTATTTAATTATTTCTTTAATATGCACTCTAATTATTTTTTAAGCCGTGGATTTTATGATATGTAGCGTATATATTTATTTATTTATTTATTTATCTTTATTATGCATAGAAAAAGTAAAGACAACTAGAAAAAAAAATCTGAAGAGAAAAGCGTGATAAAAAGTGTTATATACCTACACAGACAACGTTCATTAGACGTTTCGCTAAGCATCCATAACTCTACGTCTAATGAACATCAAACAGAGGTTTGTATAGAATATGTTGTTCTGTGTGGATACGATGCGCAGGCAATTCAGCAAAAAATTCGGTAGACATTTAACGATTTTACGAAAAAAATAATTTAAACAAAACAAAGTTTTAGGTAAGTTTTATGGATACATTAATATATTTCAGTTTTCTGCAAATTATTCTTTATTATTATTACTTATTTTCATTAATGATTATATATCCGTGTGCTGTAGTATAAAATATAAAAAAAAAAGTATTTACAGCATTTTTTTTTTTTTATATCTGTCACAGGAGTAAGATCTCTCCTTGTGGTTATAATTAACACACACTCTTGATACATTCTACTAGTAAAAATAATTAATATCGAAAAAAATAAATATCTCGCGCGATAAAATTCCGATATCCAATATTACAACACATCTTCCTCGTTTATACTCCGTATAGAAATGAAATATAAAAATAGAATGATATTGCATGTGTATGAAGTAAAAAATAGCATTGTTATTTAGAGAGGAAACGTGAATAAAGAATTAACACTTGTACACACGTGGTGTGATATACCACACAATTCCTCTCTCTTATCCGTTGGAAAAAAAACTTTTTTTTTGTACGTTCGCACACTATCTCTGTACGCGAGAAATGCACATGGGACGACATGGGAAACGCGCGAAATCGAGATCGATTACGGATAAACGCGTTACAGAGAGAAATAACTAATAACCGACCGTCGGACGCAAAGTAAGGGAAGATGCCAGACACAGAATCCTCTCTCCCGGAGAAGAGTACGCAATATATAACACACATCGATCTGCCGTGCTCGGCGAATGCGCAGTAGTTGCGCGTGTCGCGACGCACTGTTCCGGTCCGGCCAGAGATTTTGCCACCCCGTATAAAACCGTGACCGGGGTCACGGCGCGATACCAACAGGTGATGCCGAAGAAGGAGGACACTCCCTCGAGCGGCATCTCGTCGAGCGTCTCTCCCGAGTCCTGCTATCGTCGTCGTTGCCGCCGACGACGACGATTACGGTGATTTAATATATCGTTTTCTTTGTTCGTCTCTCTCTCTCTCACTCTCTCTCTCTCTTTCTCTCCTTCTCTTTCTCTCTCTTTCTCTCTCGTTCTCACTTCCCTTTTCTGAATCCATTGTTTTACTTTATATCTTACGGATTTTGCCGACAATCACGGGGAGATCCGTCTGCGCTACGCGATTGTGAAGATATCAGACTCTTATATTCGCGTGTTAACGAAACGCGGACGAAGAAAAACTGGACGACGAAACCATCAATCAGTTCGATGATTTAGTGGACGGACAAAATTTATGGTGCACTGATTCCTCTCTCTCGATGCAGCTTTCCGCGCGTTTCTTCTAGCGAGAGAGTATATTGTGAATATATATGTTGTGCGATTATAACACGAGCGCGGAATTGACTTGCAACATGTGATGATCGAGTGCTCTCTTCCACGCATCAGATTTTGGCAAGGTGAGCAATTTTCCAGATAACGTTTACGTTTAGCGCGGATCGCACACGAGTGATTTTCATTTAAAACTTAACATCAATGTCTATTTATACACTCGCACACAAACGTAATCATTCAGAGAGATTTTTTATTATTTCTTAACTAATTACTTTTTTTTTTTTTTTATCATCACTGAAGTAGCCGTGAGATGTTATGTTGAAATCTGATATTCGCAGAATAATATTCTGCTATTCCATTTGTTCGCGTTTTGTGTAGCTAATACGGACATCCAGCGCAAGTAACTATTTTATACATTATGTAGCTGTATATCTCTATTACGGCGAAGAAAATAAAACGTAAAAGTATTGAAAAAAAAAAAAAAGAGAGAAAATATCTTGAAGCGTAAACACTCTCATATATTCTTGTGTTACGACACAAAATCTAGATATCTATAAGAGATTAGACGACTGCGAAGAATAACGAAAAAAAAAAAAAAAAAACGCGAATGTAAACGCAATGACAAAAATACAAAAATCTTCTCTTTCAGAAAAGACGGAGATATTTCATAGAAGAAACATACACATTTTCAAATGTTTTATGAGAATAAAAAAAAAAAAACTTCAACTCTCTCTGTGTACATTGGAATCAAAAAATCGGGATATTTTTACACCGCTCACACACAATTCGAATCGTGCATATATACGTAACGGACATCTTAATATGTATGAAATCATTGATTTCTCTTTCTCGTCGCTTCGAATTCATTTTATACGATTGCATTTTAATAATGGTACACTCCGTTTTATTATTAACAAACAAATTCTTTTTGTGATTTTATCGCACTTTTTCTTCTCGCTGCATTCGATCGCAATCAATTTGTTAGACATGCACTCCACGCGTCCAGAGATTTCGAAAACTAATCAGTCTTTAATAAACGTAATTTGATTTTATTAACATGTGTGTGTGTGTGCGCGCGCGCGCGCGCATGTGTGTGAATTTGTGTATGAAAGAGAGAGAGAGAGAGAGAGAAAGAGAGAAATATATTCCACACTCACGAAAAAGCTACACTAAGGCAGCAATCGGTAATCAATATCATATTAACAACTTTTCAACTCGACTCTCGCCGAAAAATCTCGTGCGAAGAATTGACGGTTTAATTATTTATAAAAACGAGAGAAATGACGAAAGAGCAAAATAATGAAACGAGAGACATAAATTGATCTGGATATCATCATGTTTTCTTACTTTACCCACGCGCATATATGTGTGTGTGTACGCAACACGTGTCAGAATATAAATAAAACTAACGTCGATGGTGTTCTTGTGATATGCTGTTAAAAGCTTTCGAGTTTATTGAGCCGTTTTTTTTTTTGACGATTAACAGTGCAGATCGCGCGTTAACATTGAGTAAAATCGTATTGGTAAAAATCGATTGAGCGAAAACGGATAGCCCATTAATTTCGATCACAAATCACAAACATATATCTGACTCGTTTGAATATCCGAATAAATGAGCTAGAAGAAAAAACAATTAATTAATGTAGAAAGCTTTTTGGAAACAATTGGCGCGGATAAATGACACTATCAATTGGGTGCAAGAATTCTGCATCAAGAATATTGTGTGCGAGTCGACTAAAAATGCAAATTTAGCGGCAACGTGATAGCGCGACTTATATTGAAACTCTTCTTTTCTCTCTCTCTCTCTCTTTCTCTCTCTCTCTCTTTCTTTCTACCTCTTTTTTCCTTCCTGCAGATACTTTTACATCTATACCGTCATGATTTCTAAAAAAGATCGCGTGCAAGAACAAAAACACCGTGTATATAACAAACTAAGAATCGTATAAAAATTTCACACGATATAACGGTTTGGAAAAAAAACTGAGGAAAATTCGCTGGAAATCAATAGTTCCTCCTCCTGCAATGCATTATTCAAACAAGTTATTCAATCGGAAACCGGAGCTTTGATTGAATAAAGAAAACTACACGAGAAAACGTCTATCCACGACGAAAGATCGCGGATTGTATTGGAAGTAGTCAAGTCGGTTGTTATGGTAATTGCACTCTTTACAAGCCCGTCGAAATTTATGATTTATCTCGATAAATCATCGCGACTCTCTCTCTCGTTTCTCTTCGCGTGGGGGGCGAGAACATAGGTGTCGCAGATTTTATCGTATTTTAGATAGATACATAGGTGTTACATATATGTACGTATATATATATATATATATATATATATACGAGTATATATATATACATACATAAGGAACAAAAACTGCTTCTTGACATTAATGGGATCACGACTATATTCGAGAACTTGTGTGCGCGCTTAAAGGAGAGATAGGGCGAAAATAGCCAACTTTCGAGACGTGCAAAATTGTTACGGCAACTGTAAAGAGGGATTTGAATCGATAGTTTCGACGTTGAAAGACGAAATGCGAGAGAGACACATAGGCGAACGAACAATGCACTTCTCGTCGCATCCGTAGCATCGTGTGCCCACACGAGAAGGGTAGTTGCACGACGCAGTCAGATAATTCTCACGTATACATTGTGCTCGGTTAGTCAAGTAATGAGTGCTGAGACATACGTGTGTGTGTGTGTGTGTGTGTGTGCGCGAATGAGAATTGTGTGAGAGAGAGAGAAAGCAATGCGAGAGTGCTCGCACGTCAAATTAAAACGACGATGACGCGGAACGCGACGCTATAACGCAAACGAAACGCGAAGAAAGAGATATCGCGCGTATTATACCGTAAGATAAATTCAAAATTGCTCATTAACACCAAGTACACCGAGTTTTGTATAAAAAAAAAAATGTCCGCAACTTTAGCGAATAATAACGAAAGAATAGTAAAACAAACTGTAATCTGAAAATAGAAAAGCAGTTTTTCCATTCGTCGTTTTGGTGCGAAACAATATATTTGTTAATGAAATATTTGCGTATTTCGTGTGTGAGCACAGGATGCCACAAGGAAGTATTCAATGGCAAGGGACGCAGAGAAGAGCCTGCGGGCCTGGAGCTAATTGGAATGTACAGGTACATTCTCTTATCACTTATTTCAAATTTGTGAAAGGTGTGTGTATGTGTGTGTGTGTGTGTCGATATAATGAATGATATTTATTGAAATTACTAAAAAAAATTTTCCATCGATCTCTCTCGTTAGTTTTTATTTATTATGGAGTAGACCATCAGTGAAAATATCAGCGTAGAGGAAATGAAGAAAGAGAGAGAACGAGAGTTTTATGATATAGTGCATATGTAGAAAGCGCATGTACAATATATCCGTATATCTAATTATATCTCTAGCACGTTCGAGAATTTCGACGAAAGCTTGCAAAAATTAATTCTGACGCAAAATTTCTATAAACTAAAATACAAACAATTATTATATATATATTTGTACATATATATATATATTACTGATAAAATCTTACTACGCTAAACTCATTAATACACCATAACTTTTTGTACATATACAACATAATGCTTAACAAAATATTCGTAGAAAAAGTTTTTACGTTTTGTTTTTTTTTTTTAATGTTTTTTTTTTAATTAATCCATAATAAAAGCTAACTGTATACAGAATGTGAAAATTAATACATCTGTATCTTGAAAAATAAAATAGTGTTATTTCTTGGGAATTTGTATAATCTTAAGAATTTTTTTCTTCGGACGGAGTTAATGTTCTGAGCAATACAGCTCTCTACGTTTGCTTTTAATTGCTAAGGACACACAAATTGGGTTTTTATTTTTCTCATTTTTAATCTATGATAACCACACGTGCTAATGTGGCAACAATACGATATATTAGTTTCGCTACACTCCATATAGCACTTATGCACGGGAAAAAAAAGTTTTGCTATTACACGGTCAGTAAGAAAAATGGTTGACCCTGCGAAATTTTTTGTTTCATCAACAAAATGTTTTGTTGGCGAGAAACAAAAATTTTACTAAACTTACACAAATGTTTTTTTGCTGGCCATATAAGTGACTAATTTCTCTTGCTATTCTAGCAAATCTTTTTTTTTTCCGCGTGTGGCAATTATATTATTATTACAACGCAATAATTTATAAATCACATAAATATGCTATACAAAAAAACTACATCGCTCATAATTGGCAATATTACAAGTCTCATTTTACACCATAGTTATATTACAACATCAGTAGATTATACTGATCGATTTAACAGCACCGTATATCAATGCAGCCAATACGTCTTATGGCTAAGAATAAATGACTGGACCATTTGAGATTGAACTGGACCAGATTTATTAATTGTTAACGGTCGCAATTAAATCGAACAGGTGGTGAGAAGCAAGGTGACAACACGGTGCTTGTGGCACGCCTGTAAAGCTCTCGGAATTGGGCTACTGCTAATGCTTTTAGGAGCTTGCATGGCAACTATAGGTGAGTAGAATTATGTAAATTAAATATTGTTTTTATCTCGGCAAATGCTGTACCATCTTATAGCCACTAACTACTTAGAAGCATCTGCAAACAGCACTTTGCAAAGATCAAACTTTGCGATATAATTTACATCGTTTTTTTTTTAGTGCCTCGAGTTTAATCAAATTTTGCTTCACAAGTCATGTATATGCGCACCCGCACACACTGCTTAATATATACGTAATGCGAACTAACGAATGTTTCTCTCATTTCTTTAAACAGGTTATTATGCGGATCAGCTATCGGTCGCCCAAGAAATCAGAGGAAATATAACGGTAAAAGTGAAGAACGAATCGCGAGGTTTTCACTTGAATAATCTAAGTTACGCAGGTCCTATCGTTATGGGTCTAGGAGGTAATAATAATATATATATATATTATACATAGAGTGTGTAGAAACTTTGATATATGTATTTGTTCGCAAACGAGTCATCACTTATATAGCATTAACTTTCTTGAAATAGTAATTTTGCAAATTAAACTTCAATCTTTCTTCTCTATCAGTTATTATTTTATAAGAAAATCAGATATATATACATATATGTATAAAATTGATTTTTTAAAATAAAACATTACCATGTTTTATACATATATGTGTGTGCATACGTGATTTTTAAAACTACAAAGTTCTATTAATTTAAGAGAGATATAATAGTTTTATGTATGGAGATATATATAGGAGAATATTTATCTAAAATTGTTATATATAAAAATAACAAATAAAACGTAATGGATATAGAGCAGAAATTTGCGAATAAAATGCAAAAAATACGCAACACAATATGCTACTTTGTGTAGTTGAACGACAACATTTGTAAACAAGTGATAAAAAAAACCATGCCCCCAGAGAGATTTGAACTCTCGACCCCTGGTTTACAAGACCAGTGCTCTAACCCCTGAGCTATGGAGGCTGACGCACAATTGGCGCCTACAGACTCGAGAGATGGCGATAGGTCTTATAAAAATTTTCAATTTACAAATTAAATTAAAAATTATATTATATTTCTATTAAATTAAATATATTTTCAAAATATATTTGATATATTTTGTAAATAGCGTGACATTAATTTTACATTCTCATTACAGTGGAAAAAAAATTTATGAAAACAATGCAAACAATCTAACATACAAAGTTGTTATGTATTCACTTTCTTATGTATTATATATATATATAAGTTTATAATATATTTTTTATATTAAACTTATATATAAGTTTAATAAAGAAAATATATTATATCATAGATAAAAAAGATCTGTTATCTTTTTACACGACGCGCATTCAATAAATGTCTGTCAATAAATTGCAAAGTTCACCTATAATAAATTATGTACGTGTAAACCGTCACATGTATCATCGTATAATGAATGAATAACAATGTTTGCAGGCTTTATTGTAGTAGCAGCCTGTGTGATGACTTTCGAGGCGCGTGACAGCGCAGCTAAAGTGGTACCAGCTCGTTATCGCTTCAGCCAAGGATCAACGTTAAGAAGTTCGAAGAATCAACGTAACAGAAGATCGACATCGAGTCAGACGACAAAATGGGATCACCAACTGGGCCTATTTCGAACGAATCGCAGTCCGAGTCCTAGTACACACGAAGTCTCGAGAAAGCAATTGACGGCAGAATTTATGCAATTTTCAAAAGATCTACAGGAAAAAGGAATGTCGCATTCCATAAAGAAGAGTCCGAGCGCGCCAACATTAATCGACAAGAAATCGCCACGCCGAAGATCGCCTAAATACGCTGGTTGCTCGCTCTTGAATCCGGAATTGCTACAAAGACACGCTGTTTCAGTCGACAATCCGAGCTATAGTCCGCATCAGGTAAAATAAATAATAAAACACAATAACATACACACACACACACCATATATATATATATCTCTCACTTAAAAAAAAAAATAATATACCTTACTATACGATATATGTAGAGAAAATCAAATTATTTTGTAATCGTCGCTTTAAAATGTAAATAAATTATAAACATATATCGAAGTGAGGAATACTTCTCTCTCTCTTTCTCTCTCTCTCTCTCTCTTGCTCAATAATTTTAATTAAATCACTGAAATCGGAAAAATTTGTCAATAATTGTAGTAATAATTATTAACAGATTAGCAGAGAAAGTTTAGAACATCAAAAGATGAATGGTAGCCAAGTATCAATGGCAATGGATCTTCATATTCCGAACAAAGGTCCTGTTACGCTCAAAGTGAAGGACCGATCTGATACGGCAAGACGTCATCAGTTGCTACGTCAAACAAAAGTGGAGGATGTCGAAGAAGTTGACGAAGCCACGCGACCATCGCCGACCGTTATGTACTCGCCTAAGTTGCCAGGTGGGTTAATAAATCATTCTGAGAACATTTTTAGATATGTGTGTTATATGTGTGTGTGTGTATTATATTACTGAAATAATCATTAATATACGTCGATCAGGCACCTATTGCAGATATCCCGACGATTTTGTGCCAAGAAAAAGAAATTCAATAGATTTGAGACTGTTGGAAGAATTGACGGCGGTATCGAAAGAATTGAGCAAAACCTCGCCGCGAGACTTTCGTAAAATCTCATCGCCAAATTTTCGTAAAATGTCTTTCGATAGAATCGGCAGTGATCGTCGTTTTGACAGAACAAAAATGGGACATCGAAAAGCCAGTCTCGAATTCAAAAGAAGCCCCGATTTTCGAAGAGGAGACTATAGGTGGTAAAGAATTTCAAATAAAAACTTTTTACAATCGCGATCGATCTATTGTTGCAATTAACTTTGAACTGAGGCTTTTTTTCATTTTTTTTTCTCCCATTTGTAAGAACATCTCGATAACCAAATAACCAAGTTCGTATTCACAGGAAGATGTCGGTGGATAGATTCAGCGTCGATTGTACTCGATACATGCTCGACGAGGCGGATATAAAATCACGAACGAGTAGCGGTGAGAACTTGCGAAGACAGACACGTCATCCCAAGTTACTCCATTCCAGATCGGACGATAACAGGAGACGATCTTTCGACAAGCATCCGAAAGATCCTCAATCGAGTCGACACTCTCTCAACGCTCCGGTCGTCGTCGAGTGTCCGGGATACGATTGTGAACCGAAGTACTTCACGACTGTGTCACTTGATACCGAAGAGAGTCGTGCCGATAATTCCGAAGAGAGTCGTGTCGTAGACATCGATGATGCGAATCTTGCCGGTTTATCGCCCGAAGGACCCACAGAGGCCGACGCGTTGCTCGAAGAACCGGAATTAGAAAACGTCACCGAGATTGAAAGAAATATTTTCGAACGCGACAACAACAAACGCGAATCGCACGAATCGTCCGGCAAAGATCGCGTGATCGCGTGCTTGCAAATACAAAATTTTACAAGCGAACACATGGATTCGCGAACGATAATTGATGATAAAACGGCACAGTCTTCAGATCAGATTGAGATGTGCGAAACGACATTGTACACGGAAGACGATGAAGTCTGAAGTGTTGAAGAGAAATTTTTTCGACATAAAAAAAAAAAAAAAACAGATCTCTTCCCACCGAAATATTTTAAGGAAAGAGACGACAATGTTATCGAATATAAAAAAATTAATGTTGTTGTTCACACATTGCGACGTTTTAATACTGCAGATATCTTTGCACAGATGTGAGCAGATTATATACATGTAACACTATTTATCGAGATTATAAATGTCGCATCCGATTGTCTTTGAATGCGATGTCGCGTTGTGAAATACATGCTCAACGTTTTAAGTTTTGATAACGTAAATAATACGTACATTTTAACGAGATTGAATTGCGTTTTATAACGAGACAATCATTTTTTTATCGGCATCTCGCATTACCTTTCGCACGAGGAGGAGGGTAACGAGAGCGTGTAACATTTGCCACACACACATTTGATGACAAATAATTGTTAACAACAAATTTTCACGTAGAGTGCATATGTATATACATATATATATATATATATATATATGCATGTATGTATAGATGATATAAAATAAATTTAATAAAAGACTCAAATAATACAAACGTGAGATTACAAGAAAGCTTTTTGTACTTGTAATGAAAGAACTGTATAACGTTCACATATGTAAATATTTCAGACTATATCTTGTAACTTGTTCGTGTCATAACTGACGAGAAAATCGGACAAATATGTCACGCGGTTCAAAATATATATATATATATATATACATACGTATATATTGTAGATAAAGCAATGTTATTAAACAAAAGGATTATTGAATATTGCAATAAAAAAAAAATAGAATAATACCTTGTTTTTTTATGAAACAAAAATAATATTTTCCGAGCGATAATTGAATTTTTTAAATGTAAAAGGTGGAAAAAATAAATGTAAGACCGTTACTCTCTTAGCAAATCCCAAGGTAATGTAATGGGATTGAAATTAAAAACTTGAAGTGAATTTTACCTGTGCGATACCCATCGCAAACGTATCTTTAAGAAAGTCTTCTTCAATCAATCACGAAACATATATATGTATGTAAGCACTAAACATTTATAAAACTCAGGTCTATTCTAACTCTATTGCGTAATTTGCGCAGGTAAAACTGCGGCCTACTTTTTGTGCTTCTTGATATAATATATATATTTACACAATTTGTTATATATATATATATATATATACATATAACAAATTGTATACAAATTTAACATGATAATTTTCTGGATTCTAATCTATCTCTTCAGTTTATGCCCAAATATACGACTCAACATTTCTACGAGTAATAAAAATGTGACAGTTAAACTTGAAGTAAAACACACCTGTTTTTTCATTTGGAATAAAAGCTTAGCTGTGCGCGTGTAATATATTTTTCTATTCTCACACCAATGTGTAATACATAGTGTTCGTTCAATGTTGAGTACATACACACACACACACACACAAAATCAATTATTATCAATACATGCAAGTATTAAATATGGTTTTTTATAATTGTTTTTATTATTTTAAGTAAGTTCTCTTATTATTTTTATAAATTTCATTATTTTTATTATTTCATCTCAAATAAAATTTTTTTATTTTACGTCAAACACAAATGAACGCGATTTTTGATAAATATATCGAGCAGTTTTCATTTTTTATTTTCTTTCATTATTTCGAAACATTTTATATTGTTATAGAAAATTATTCTCCGTAACACACATTCTTATATATCTATAGTTATATAATGTGAAATGCATAACTCGTATATTTAATAATAAACATAACTGAATTGTATAGTTAAAATATACTTTAACATACACAAGTAGCATTATTGAATAACGTTTCTTGCAAAAATGTACTTTTTAGTCATTTTTTTCTGTTTTTCTCTTTCTCTTTCTCTCTCTCTCTATCTCTCTTTCTTCCCCGTTTCTTTTTCTCTTCTTTTTTTTTTGTCTTCCTTTAGAGAGTTTAAAATCTGCCATAAACCAGAGAGATCAAAAATTTGATCTTTGTGCAATATTGATGAAATATATACTGTGAAATTGATAAGCATCTCTTAGTGTAAAATTTTTTAAAAAATGTAATCCATGTGTATGCATGCTATGATGATGTAACATAATTAATAAAATATTATATATACTCAAAATCGCAAGTGCGTATGTCTCAAAGGAAACAAAGAAAATACTTTTAAGCGTATAAAAAATATAAGAAGCGTGTAAACGGAGAGGAGTGGTTAAGTTAAATTAAATATGTAACAGATTATTTTACTTTTACGGTAATAGGATGTCGTATATAAAATGGAGAGACAAAAGATACGATGAGTAACACGTACTTAAATATAGTAAAGCAAACGGACAGCCTGATTGTAATAATTTAAGTACGGACATGCGCGGTTTATTTTTCAGTGTTTATACCGCAGTTTTGCATTCGTCGCGTGCTAGACGGCTTTCGTAAACGATTTGTATGTTCAAATGTTTGGGAGAATCTCGATATATCGATATCTTTCGATATTCTTAAAGTATCGAAATAGATCGAAATAACAAAACGTACCGCCATCTGGCGCGTAGACTTTGATAACAACAGCATACGGCAATACGACATATGCATTACACACATAATTGAGAGTTGTGTTGCAATAGTGACAAGATCTGCGAATTTACGCGGTTTTTACATGATCACTGCAAGTACACGAGGCATTAATTCTGCTAAAGACACAAGAATGGGTTTAAGTCCAACCACTAAACAAAGAATAGCTATTGTCTTAGACGCGAGCAAATTTGTATTTCAATGGGGTTTCATTCCGGCCGTTCTCTTTTTAGGTTAGATCTTTGTAACATTTGTTGTTTCATCACATGTAACGCGCACGTGTGGTAAAATCTAATCAAAACCAAATCTTTTTTTATTTTTTAGGATTTCGCAAAGGCGCAGATCCAGGCATGCCTGAATTAACTCTCCTCAAGTAAGCAGTCATTTATAAACAGATTACTTGGTAATGTCTGAGAAAAATTATGTCACATTTTTCTATTTTGTTTTTCAGTTTGTTATGGCAGTAATAGAAATTTCTCTTCTTCATCACACCGATATTTGTTTCATTCCAACGAGAGTTATGTTTGTACTATACATGTACTATTAGATATCTTGACTAAATTTATGTATTCGTTTAGACAAAGATCATGTATATAAAATCTTACTCTACAAAATTATGAAATTTATATTATTGTGTGTAATTTAAATTGCACCGAATAAATATGTACATCATTAAGTTAAATATTTTTTATTATCCACTAGTGTGAATATAATGTTACTCTTTTTTCCACGTGTGTGTATGTGTGTGTGTGTGTGTGTGTTGCGTCATTAATTTCAATAAAAATATTTCTTAAAAACTCAAACTATATCATATTTTTGCCAGAGCTATGTATGTTAATAAAATTGAAAAAAGATTCATTTTTTATGGTATGTGTTGACTACAAAATTTGTGATATTAATTATTTACAAGAAGAAACATGTCAGTGGGAGCACGTTCGCTATGGTTGTGAGTATATTTCAATTTATTTGATTTGATGTTTAAATTAAAACACGTTTCGATCGGAAGATTCGGTCTTTACCAGTTGTCTAAAGCAAATAGAATTGAGTGAAAATTAATGAACGCCGATCGAGAAATTTTATGTAATTATAAAGGTACGTATGTACTTACTTACAATGATAGTCAAGTTTTTTTGTGTACAAAAATATCCAAAAACAGATTTAAAAATATTTGAAAAAAATTAAATTAAAATATTAATCTAAATATTGCATGGTCAATTGGCAAAATTATTTAAACATGAATCTATCAATTCTCTTTCTCGAGATCTTGGTAAGAGTAATTTAATTTGTAGTGATTTCTAGCATTATATTGTTTTTAAAACTATAATAACAGCAAGAATACATAAATATATACGTACATATGTATTGTCAGAAACGTACATATGTATATGTATATACATGATTCAAATGACAATTTGAACGTAAATTACTTGCCAATTTGTGGAGTGCGATTCTAGAAATATCAAATACACGCAAGCTCACAATATATTTACACATTCGCACTCTTAGAGTTATACAATAAGCACGAATATGTAATAATGTTATATTATTTGCTATGAATAGCGACAAATATAATTATCTAAGAAAATGACATACCCGATGCTCCGTAGACATATATGTATAATAATGTGTGCGTGTTGACAGGGTCGTCAGAAGTTTCGACGCTGCTCCCTCGCAAAACTCTTGATCTTTTTTTCATATATTTGTGTCCTCACTTTGTCCTTTAGATTACGTTTCTTTTTTTTTTCAAATGTGCAACTTTTCGTTGTGTAACCGCTGCGACAACACGCGTATGTACGATATTTTGTTTCTCGCTCACTCGACTGTGCACTCAATCATTTTGTTACACGAAGCTTTGGCATATTAACTTATATATATATTATATATTACGACAAAATGTCCGATTACTTTACAACAACTACGCGTATGACTTATAATAATCGCGCGCGATACTTATACGATAATTATCGCGAGAAATTACGGAACACTCAAACGCGTGATTGTTCTACAACGCCGCGCGTCCGCTTCCCGCCATTTCGAATATATCGAAGCGCGCGATATTGCGATTCTCGAAACATCGAATCGACGCGCGATAGTGCTTCTTAAGGGCTATAATACACAAAATGACATAGAATGCATATGCATAGCATAAGACTATTTAGACCAATGAGCGTCTAACATAGTTTTATATAAATCAACATGGCGACTTCATGCCCGACGCTCATTGGTCCATATAGTTTTATGCTATGCATATGCACCTATGTCATTTTGTGTATTATAGCTCTATCAGAGAGAAGCCTGAGAGCGACCATAAGAGAATGTGTAATCACTTTTCCGCTCCGTAAACTAGCGCATGTTCACGAGTGGTACACATTGGAACTACGCAGCCAGTTCACGAGCGACATGTCGGTATTTCCACATGATACGGTTCTATTCCGTGCTATGTGCACGCGTCCAAATGGTCATCTTCTTCAGGCGTGTGAGTATATTCGCGAGAGTGGATTTGATTTCTTTTGAAATTTAAAATGATCAGTCTCGTGATGAGAAGATACGAAAAGAGAACAGAAAAAGACAAAAAAAAAACATTGCAACTTTCCACACAACATAAATGTGATATACAAGAAAAGATGCGATAGTCAAGAAAATAATATTATTTTAGCGAGCAGCATCAGAATTCGTGGAGTGTATCATCTCCTTTTACATCATCATTTGCTGCTTCTTGCTAAATTTTATTTTATTTTCTCAAAAACTACATATATACGTTTAAATATAAATTACACAAAAAGACATGTATATTACGCAAAAGTGTTTTGCCGATACACAAAATATATACATCTGAAAAGTTGCAATTTCAAAAAGGATATCTATTACTCTGCTTTATTACAATTCTTTACCAGTGTGTTTTCAATTTTCAAGTTTCATCTTACAATTTTTTATACATTATAATAGAATACAATAGTTTACATATATTACATACAATATAATACAATATATTATACAATATACATAGTACATATAATCCTACCTACCTATCTTAAACATCTGACATATCTTAAACGTTACTAGCCTCATTAATTAGGATTAAGGCTGCGTAACAGCCTTGATCCTAATTGTACATTTTTATTTCTTCTACCTACCTACCTTCGATCTAACATATTTCTTATCTATCCGGCCTAATTTATTTTCTACANGCGCTTGTAGATAATAAATCCCTACCTACACAGATAACTACCTACCTATCTATTTACTTTGAAAAGTTTTAAAACCTATCAAATATTTTACGCGAGGGGCAATTGTTTTAAAATTAAAAAGTAATATTTTAGATATATTTTAGTTTCACGTCCGAGTTTTGTTTTAGATTTTATAGTTGAAAGAAGAATTATATCCACCCGATAAAACCCATCATGTATACTTAGAAGAGATAGAAATATTAATATTTTATAATAGATAGAAAAAATATATATTTCAATATATATATTTCAAATATATATTTCAAATATATATTTTTGCGAAGATAAAATAGAAAAGAATAAAAAT